AAATTTGCAGGAGATAAAAGGCTGGGAGGGAGTGCAAGTACACTGGAGACAGAACTGGAATGCAGACAGGTCTTGATGAACTGGGAAATTGGTCTGGAAAAAGTTAGATAAAATTTAGCATGGGTAAATGCAAGAAAATGATTAATACGGATAGCCAACTACAAAAGTACTGGGTTATCCAGCAATTGACCAGATTCTTCAGAAGAGGATTTTGAGGTTATTGTGCATCCCAATATAAATATTAACTACCTTTATAATCTTGTTATGAAAAGCCAAATGCCATACCCTTGGATTGCTGAATACAGGTTTGGAAACTGTATTTGAGGAGACTATGGACCAACATTAGAGTGTTCGAAGGATAACAGCAGATATTATTAGGGAAACTGTTAAAGAAAATGTGATTTCTGTGCAATGTTGAAAGCATCAGGGTTATTAAGTTGTAAAAAGATAAGGGTACTGGTGAGGAAAGGAGTGATAAAACTTTACACTTCATGGTGTTAAGATGAAAGTAATAATCTATTGTACATGTTCCTAATAGACTGGAAAAGAAGATATGGGCTTAAACTGCAGCAGGAAACTCAAGCTAGATTTCAAGAAAGCTTTCTAATAGTAAGATTAGTTAAGCAATGGAATAGATCTTGCAGCCTAGGGAGTTGCAAAATCTCCATTTATTGTAAGTCTTCAAAATCAGGTTGGACAAACATCTGTTTGAAATTGTGCAGATATAGTTCAACCTGATTTAAAGAATGAGGATAGACTTGGGTGAACTCTCAAGGTCCTTCCAGCCCTGTTTTTAGATTATTTTATTGCCATATTTTATACCTAAATTCATAGTGAAAACACACATGCCACTCTAGGTAGTATATAAATGCATTTTTAATTTTCAAGTTGAGACAGCCAATATGTAGGTAGCCAACTCATGTACGCACACCACAACCCTTAGGTGTTTCTTGCTTTTCACTCTTGTCCTTTCTCCAGTTTCCTCACAATTTGCAGAGAACAAGGAGATAGAGATCTTCAGCGCACCTATTTTACATCAGAAATTGAATAGCTTAAGTCGTAGTCAAGGTACAGGCTTGTTTTGACTGAATAATCTTCGAGTGCACAGTAAATGCTGCCAGTTGCATTACATCCCTGCTTGGGAAACTCCCTGGTTGCTTGGAAAACTGTTATAAACTTATTTTTCTTCTAACACACCCTTTTGAATTTTTCCCCAGGCTGTATTTAAAAAACACAACAAACAAGCAAACAAAATAAAAAAACCAGCCTGAGGGCTCAGAGTTTGTGCATATTGCTTGTCTAATTGCTTTCTAAAGGAGTCAGCAATGCCAGGAGATGGCATACAGTTTCAAAGTGTACAAAGCAAAGTACACCAGCAGAGCTGAAGCTGCATCAGAGGAAAATTATGCTCCCTGCAGTGGCTGTTCCTCAGCATCTCTTGTTGCCTGGTTTGGGAAGTAGATTGACTGCACTCTGATAAAGGACTTTGATTTAATTTTATTCTTCACAGCCTTTGCTGGCTTTTTAGAAGCTCAGCCCTGTCTGTGTTTGTTAGTGAGCTAAAGAAAGAAGAAAAATTAGCCCATCATCTATGATCTGAATAAAAAAAGCAGTTAGAAAAAAAAAAATACCTTGAGCAAGCGTGTTACTGCTTTTGGGATAAAACAGCAGTATATGTTTCATAGTGGCACACGCAAAGCCCAATATGTGACAAGGTGATATTCTTTTAAAATATTTCTTATTTCAATTAATATTCTCTTTGCTGACAAAGCTCCCTTTTTTCTTCTTGTGTAATGAAAGTTTCTGGCATGTTAGTCTAATTGAAATGACAGGCAAAAGTTAAAAGTAAAATCAATTCTTTGTCACTGGAGCATCCCCAAGTATTTAAAAGGGAATGGTAGGAATGAGGAAACAGAAGGTGTGTGTTAACCAGTTAGAAACCAAAATCTTTTGCTGTAGCAGTTTGTTTTAAGAAAATAAGAATCATTAATTTAGTGAGGATACATTTACCAGATTAAATTAATAAATTAATTCCATGAATAATTGAATTTATATTTGGAATAGCTACAGTTGCAAATGTGGTTCTCTGTGGGTGAAAGAAAGGAATTGAAGATAGGCGTTTTGAATGGCATTAGAGAAGTTAATTCTGTGATTATTCCATCTTAGGAGCTCCAGGGAAAGATTGAGCTCCTCTGTTTTGAGAAAATTTTGCCTGCTCTTCTAGCTGACCACAATGCAACCAGAGGAATGTTTAAGGGTTGTTTGTTTTTCAGTTTTGTCTTTAACTTCTGTCCCTCAGAGCAGGAGAGCTTAGTGCCAATGCTGTAGCTCCAAGGCTGAGGTTTTCCTTTCCTTTTCTGCTTAGCTGCTCACCTTATCCCAAATATAAAATCTCAAACCAGATTACTCCAAGCTGTGTTTAGCGATTGTATGCAGGGTGTATGTCTGTCTGACTATCCCAGCCTGTGTCATTGCAGAGGGGAGCAGAGCAGTGAGGCATTTAGGCAGGAGATCTGCAGTACTAGGAGTGGCTTCCAAAGCCAGCCATATGTGCCTTTCATAAATGATGGGAGTTATGGGAAAAACAGTGCAAATTTAACTGGACTGATGCTTGCTGGAATTAAAGTTTAGCAATAAGGAAGTCTGTAATGGTTAGCTGTTCCTAAATGCTGTATCCACATCCCATGTTAATAGGTGGTTTAGAAGTAGCTTGTGCTAGATAGCTGCATTAATAAGTGGAGCCTAAGTGTCAGAGACAGCTTAGCCTGTTTGACTTTCAAATTAACCCTAGGAAGTGCTGGCTCATGAATATTAAAATTCAGCCTGCTGTGCCATGATCAATACATTAATTTTTATGTATGACCTCACAAAGATCCAGCCTGTCAAGCCATGGGCATTTGTCCAATATTCTTGTGTAAATGTCAAGACAGATGGTTCTCAAAACCTGCTGTAATATTTCGCATAATAATAGAAGTGTCTGCCTGCACTGACCTCTTCATATCAGGAGTGGAAACCCAGGCCAACGCTTGCTAAATGGGACAAACTGACTTGGCATTTTGACAGGAGTAATGGGATTGGCTAGAAAGTATGGCAAGGTCCCTATTTGGGCTTGTGTAGAGCCTAGATTACTGTTAGCTGGAGCAAACCAGTCTCCCCAGAGAAGTTAGTCTCTATGGAGGAAACAGGACGTATTCTTGTAGAAGCAAATAGAGGCACACATTTGTATAAAAGCTGGGGAGTTAAGTATTTTAGTTAACAAGCACATTAACTTCAGATGGCTTCAGCATAGACAACTATACCTGGGCTAGTTATATGGACATGTTGATAGTTGGTGGTGAAACACAGGTATGTCAAGGGCATGATTCATCCCACTGCAATGCATGTGTCTCAAATAGGCCAGAAGAACCTTGACTTAGAAGTTACCTTTTCTTTGCATGATCTCTGAAGGGAGTCAAGGTGACTGGCTTAGATTCAGATGTCTTCACTCTAGATTTCAAAAGTGAGATGAGATGAGATGAGATGAGATGAGATGAGATGAGATGAGATGAGATGAGATGAGATGAACTCCCCTCTTCCCCTGGCTATAGGATATGCCAGCTCAGGAACAGAAAAATGCAGTGACCCATTCAGTAGCTGAAACTGGCTACCAGTTCACACTGGAAAGGTGTTTAATGATACCTCAGAAACATCCCTTATTTATTTGGAATTCACTTTGAAGGACTATATACTCCAATGTTTTCAGGTCAACCCACCTTTTGAAATGCTAATCAGATGAAATTGGCCTTTACCACCAGCAGATATTTGTATATCAAAGGGACTCCTTGCACACTTTCTGCCAGCCTGAATCAAGTTTAGATTACACTGATGGATTATTTTTAATGCTGATTCCTAGTAAAATCTTCTTTTCTATGTCATTAAGGTTCTAATTATTTTTAGCCTAGTGTTAGTTAGCCATTACCATGATCAGTATTGCACAGGGAAGTGAGTCTTTATTATTCATTGTAATGGTTCATTACCCTGCTATTTTTATGTACAAGAATCACAAAGCCTGTGTCAGAAATAAAACTGGCTATGCTGAGCATTGTAATACTGTTCAGGGCTGACAAGGTATCCTGTCTCCTCCATCAAGGAGTCACGCTTCTTGTAGAGGGCGTGCTGAGGTGCACAAAGCCCACGTCCACTGGAGGAATCTATATATTCCTCTGTTCCTCTGCACCTTTCCTTGCACAGGTTACTTCCAAGCAGACTGTAGAACATCTCACTGATAAACAAGTATCACTTAGCAGCAGGTTGGCTTCACTGCAGCCCACGACCAAGGCACTTGAGTGACAGTGCAAGAGCAGCATGAACTGGCATTTCTTCCAGCGCTTGTCCTTCCCTGCTAATGCGGCTAAATAGCTGAGATGACCTTCTGCTGGGAATCTTTGAATGGAAGTAATTTTGTGATTAAACAAAACTAGACTTGGGGGAAGTTTGAACAGTCCATTACAGAATGCAGTTTTATTTCTTTATTCACTCCATTACTGAAGGAATAAGCCACCAAACCCAGAGATAACAAACACTGTAACAATGGTTCTAGGTGAACAAAGATTTATCTTGAGTAGTAAACCAGATTTCATAGCAGATGCAGGACTGAATCATCTGTTGGGAAAGTTTTGTATAAAACAAAATTGGTTTGCCAGAAATATCGATGGTAAGAATTTGTCAAATACGTTCAATTAAATTGCTTATCCAACCCTGTAAAAATAAGCAGACACATAAAATTCCTAATCTGAATAAAAACAATTTCTAAACAAAATATAGGCCCAAATTCACTGAATATAAATTGATTACAACAGGTTATGGTGTCTGCTCTGTTTATTGCCATCTGCCATCTGTTTGGAGCAATTGATACTCATTCAAAGTACCCTGAAGTATCAGGCTTTATAGCACTCAGCTTAGCAGACTTTCTCAAAATACTGTTTATTTTAGTCTGGAAACATTTGTCTCTCCCACCACAGGTAATCAGCGAGTTTGAAGCCTCTCCCGACTCATTTTCCTACAGAATCCCCAACCTGAGCCGGAATCGCCAGTACAGCGTCTGGGTGGTAGCAGTGACTGCTGCGGGAAGAGGCAACAGCAGCGAGATTATCACTGTGGAACCGCTAGCTAAAGGTACGGTGAGAGTGCTTTTTAAAGCAATCCATGCTTTACAATGCTAATTACTGTTATAAAAGGCACGTGGCTTCTTTATGTCTCATTGCTTACTGAGAGTGGGATATGTCAAGAGTAACTTCAGTTCTTTCCAAAAGTTAGGTGACAACTCTCAGCTAATTGCCCAAGCTTTTGCTGTAGTCAGCAGGGAAAGAATGACATGCTCCTCTAGGGGGTAATTCATCCCACCTACTTTAGAAGGAAATAAAATGCTATTGGGAGCAATTTTTATCTTCTTTTGTTGGGCATAGAGGGTTTACAGATGATCCCCCTCCCCTTCTGAATGTGTCTCTTTTTTTTCTTGCCATACAAGATAACTTCTTTATCAATCTCCTCCTTACTAATATCTCTTGTGTACTCCACAAGTACTATCTTCTGTATATAATGGTCTGATTAACATATCTAAACTCTGAACAATTGTTCTCAACTTGCATTAGCTTTGAAGTTTGCTGCTTCTATTTCAGATACGAAGAAGGGATAATGTGCCTCAAATCCTACATACTTTTCCCCAGCTGTATTAGTTGTTCTATTAAAAGATATTGCTTGGGCCCATGAATTCTGCCTTACCTGTAGTGTGAGACGTGATGCTTTCAACACTATAGCTTCGAAATAAAGACCTAACGTTTTAGCTGATAGCAAGGTGAGAAGAGTCCCATCAGTACTCAATCTCTACATGGGGTCTTCAGACTGATGTGTTTTGGGTTTTTTCCACTCAAATCAATAACATCACAGAAGGTGCCAATATGAACAGTGTATTGCATGGTTCCCTAGAGTTGCAAAGGTAGATGCATTTAATTGACATTACAGTTTTACAAGCCTGCTGATTCTTCACTCATGTGGCTAATGATGTAGTAATGTAAAATAAAGTGTCTAGGGCTTTACGATGACAGATATTTCCCAAAAAAGCTTTGCAGAACTTCAGCCAGATGCCACCAACAAGAAAGCACTTTCTGCATGGAAGAGCATATACCATCACCACAGGGAAGCTTGCTGTTCCTGCCTGTCTAGGTAGTAGGTAACCAGTCTGATGATGGTAGATTAACTATCAGAGCTATTGTCATGGATGGCAGTGATGGTGTTTGGAGGGTACTATTTCAACACACGACATAGCTTCCTATTACATAGAAGTTGCAAACGGGGTTCCTCAGGCTTGTGATGGCAACTTGCGTGTCTTTTCTTTGTGCCTTCTCTAGGATAAAGTTTTTATCCTATAAGATGGATATTTTTCAAAATTACTGAGAAGCCTGTAGTAACTACTATATTACTACTGTACATCACAATGGAAGATTCAACGGTATAAATGTGGGGAGGGTCTAGCAAGGTAAAGAGTCCTAAGTTGGAACAAGCAGGGGAATGCTTTCTCCCTATACCATTGCTTACATTTTTTTCTGTCAGCTGAGAAGAGTCACCTTTATTTTCTGCTTCTTTCTGGCATTTTTTGTACAGTCCTACAGAACTTTTCTCTTTGCAGCTACACAGTGTTAGAGAAGTGACCTGAAGGATGGCTGAAAGGCTATGAAAAGTCTGAAGGATCTGAAAAACCTGGAGGTTTTCTGTTGTTAAATTTCTTGTAGGATAACTGCATACTGCATTTTGAACATTGGTGAGACCGAAGTTGAGATCTTAAAAGGTAGATGAGGAGTGTAAAGGATATCTGTAAAGGAGGACCATAAAAAACACCTCAGGAAAACAGGGCGAAGGTTTCAGTATGGTCCTCCTTTTAGGCCTGCTGTTACCTGTGGATAACAAATGTGTGGTGATGAAAACAAAGAAAAAAAGGAAACAAAAATAAAACATAAACATTGATACTTGGATAAGAGCAAAACCAATTAGACAACAATATGGTGCAATACTAATAGATTGAGGATGTAGACAAACCCAGGAGTGTGAAGGGACCCCTGCACATAATGCACCAGAAGTTCTCTTTCTCCATCTCCTAAGCACTTAAAAAAAGTGGGAGGTGTTCAGTCAAGATGAATGCAGAACAATGCAGAGTTTGCAGTTACCAAGATGCATAACCTCTAGTTACGAGGAAAGGTAGTATGTGATTGCTCTTGGTTTACCAAAAATAGAGAAGTTACAAACTGACCCACAGGTACTTCAACTGAACAAGCTTACCAAAAACTGGAATTAAATCTGCTCCTCCAAAGCTTATTTAACAGGACCCATGATTACAAATAAGTGAACTTAAAAATAGCTTGTATGAAAAGACAAGGGGACTTTAAGGAAAAATAATTAATTAATTCAATATAGATAAGTCAGTGTGAACAAGACTTTATTTTGAAAGATGGTAGAACGCATCTGGTCAATGTTAGAGCTAGTAGTGATACTCCGGTATAAAGTCTGCATTAGATGATGCTCAGGAAAAGCCTCTCTTACATGCACTTAGGACTGAAAAAGTGATGAATAATCCATTTGTGGAGGTTGTGATGGACACCAGGAACACTGATAAATAGCAACTTTATGAACTTTGGATGTAGCCAGGTTAGAAATTACTGTATCGTGTACAAGATTTCCTGTATGAATGCATCACAGGGCCTTTTAGAGAGCTGGGAGAAAAGTGGTGATCGGTAATAAGGGCAGTGGATGCGCAGTGAAGAAGGATGGGCAGAGCTAATAGCCTTGAAGACCTTTCTCACCCCCCAGTACGTCAGAATCAAGTAACACATCACAGGGTTAGAAGCAGTTGTAACCTGATTGTGCCACAAATGCCCAGTGCAAGAACATCCTACGGACCATTATTGTAAAGTTGTTTGCTTCCTTTTTTTCTCCACTTATTTCACAGTATCTGTCCAAGTAATGATACCATCATGACAGCTAATGAGAGTTAACTTTGAACTGAATTATGTCAACTTAATTATAACCCCTTTAAGAACCCCTTTGAGAACAATGAGAATTGTCTAAAGAGGGGTTTGATGTGAAACAGATAGTCCAATTTAAATGAAAGCTTAAATCAAGTTGAAATTTCTTTCTTTAGTGTCTCTGTTTCTCAGAACAGATTGTTATTCTCTGTAATTAACTGACAAAAATAAGCAAAAAACCTAACAAACAGAAAATAATGACAGCAATGAAACTTCAGTCTCCACATAAGCAGGATATGCCCTCCCCCTCAAATTACTCTTCATTGCTGTCAGTTGTAGGTTTAGCCTGTCAGTTATATCTAAAAGACAGAAAACCTTGCATGCACCTTGTTTCTCTTATTTCCTGACCATGACTGATGGAGAATGGCATTTGCCAGCAACATGATGATAACAGATCTCGACCCACGGCAATCTGATCCTCTGGGGAAAACTCTCTGACTTTAATGTTGAGTTTCCCCTGTTCTTGTAGACTACCTGAGCATAAACGTTAAACAGATCTGCCTCCTAGTCTATGTTGCTTTGTGTGTTCACTGTTTTTAAGCAACATGTGGGGCTCACATGACAGTACTCACACCGCACTGGTCTGTTTCTTTAACGGTTCATCATACTGGAATACGTAGGATATTCTTCTGTGAGAAAGTAAATGAAAGAAACTCCTGACCCAGGCTATTCACTGATGCCTCTTGTATTTGGATTAAGCTGAGCTGCAGTGAACTGCCATAACTCTTGTTCAGTTTCCCTATAGAGTTTGCTTTCAAAATTTGGTGTTGTCCTCTAGAGAGAGAAAAAAAAAAAGAAAAGTGTGTTATGGCCTCTTGCAAAGAATTTCTGCTTTTTAACCTATGACAGTAAATGTAGGTAATAAGATTCATAATTTAAACAAACAAGCAGAAAACCACATTAGCATAAAAGAGTGCAGTGTTCTGTGAAGGCACCTCTTTATCTTCGATTAATGATTGGGTAATTTGCAAAAAATTGGAACAGACACAGTCCTAATCCAGTGCCATGCCATTTAAAGTAAGGCTGGTGGGTAGTCAGCAAGCATTTGGGTAGCTTCGATAACAAAGAGGTAAGCCCTGCAGCTGAATTGCCCACATGCTGCATAAAGCGCCTTTGGCTCAAAAGGGAGAGGTCTGTGAGATTCAAGGTATTTTAAGGTCATGAATGTCTGTTAGCATCTCAAACCTATTGTTTTCAAAGGAATTTCACTAGACATTTATTTTGTTTCTAGTTTTCTTTTGTTTGTGTACCTGTTAGCAGTCTCAGAACATTGTTAGAATTTAAGCTATAAAGAAAATTGGAGTTAAGAATTTTCATGCAGTTCTACCATCTCTTTTAAAAGCACTCAGTACATGAAAGGAATAGGATAATGCATAGAAAGCTGTGGGTACTTTCACAAAAATAGCGCGGTATGCTTTTGTAGTGTGTGCGTCTGAGTTATGATCTGTGATCACTGGCTTCGGCTTCTGTGAGGTTTCTGTTACTTCCACACATCACTGTGAAATGGGACACACAGGGTATTGAAAACCAGGAGCTACAACGTAAATGTTGTGCTTTGGAGATCTGATATCCAACCTATGACTTAAGGAAGAATTCACTGTTGAAATAACTATTAAAAGTAAAGGGATATCACAGAAAGTTTGCTAGCAGTGGTGCCATGCCATGCTGAAGGCTTCAGCATGATTGTTGCATTACATATGCCTTGCCCTAAAGTAATGGGCAGCAGTTGGAAATAGCTGGATATTTTGAGAAGCATTGGAGAGGTGAAAAAGCCAAGAAGAAAAGGATTAGTAGTTCATTTTAAATGAGTTTTCAGGCTTCATGTTACAGAGGGAATTTTGCATGGAATAGGAATTCGAGTTTATAACCACCATTGCTCAGAATGCACTGCAGCTACGAGGAGCAATCCAGATGCTTACAGATGTGTTTTGTAGATAGTCACAGCTGACAGCATCTCCTGCTGCTTTTTAAAGATGACATGAGTACCATTAGGCATCTTCTGCAAAGAAAACCTGGCATCACTGAAGACAAATGAGCCTTCTAACACTAACTTGAATGGAGTCAGCATTTCACACCGTGTCTCTGGGTAGACTGAGCATTTTTCTGTTTCAGTTAGCTTGGTTAATTAGCCCATGGCTTGTGTCAGTATAGGCCTCTGTAAATCTTTTCTAGAAGACGTGGCCTTAGGAGTGCCACCGTGGAAAACAAGTCTGCATCGTGAGACTTACTGACTGACCAGTGTCTTCGTATCATTCTGGTGTACCATGTCCTCAGGGCAGCACACGCCGCAGGACCCTCCTGCTGGGGCTAGCCATCAGAGCTGCCAGGAGGGAGCTGGGAAGTTCAGCTACTGTTTAGCCAGAACGGGACATGTTGATGCTTGACTGTTAGGAAAGTAATGTCGTCCTATTACTTAACCTTGACTTTGTCTGTTACCCTAAATCTTTAAATAGCTACTTCATGTGTTTTCAGTTAAAATTTTGACCAGAGAAAAATCTCTCAGGAAGCTTAGTGTTCAATAATGCTTGAAGAGAACATAGGCGACGCAGTCCAAATTGATAATATAATCTATGAAATCCTTTCTCCTTATGAATATCTCAAGTCCCACTGCAGCCTACTCAAACAATTTCCCTTAGCTCTTCAAGGCCTGTTCTTTCATGCATGATTTTTTTTTTTTTTTTTTTGAGATGAACTGTCCCAGTTATATTTGATGCGGGCTTTCATTTTCATGTTTTTCTAATTGATGTAAAATGGATTATTAAGTATAAATTCTGATCAGTGTGCATGATTGATGTAGATCAGGATTAAACATACAGTATTTCATGTATCTATAATCAGTATGCGCCTTTGAAATGTATATTTAGAGGCCAACAAGAAGTCTGTTTCTATCAAGGGTCATTCCTGAGTAATAACATACAATGAAGCTCTAATACAACCCTAGTGTTCCTTTATATTATAAACTGAAACTACAGGAATGATATTTTTGTTGATATATTTAGGTGATATGAGAGCTGACAAAAATTAAGCTGACTTAAGGGTTTGTTCATATTTGTGGACTTCAGATAGACTCTTTGCAATGTACTAACACGTTCATAGGTGAAGGTTTATTTTACTTAATACCATAGCTGTTGTAACAGTGATGTATCAATAATTTAGCTTTTGTAAGATACCTGTCTACTGTGGACACTTCCTGTTGGAAGACTGGAGAGAAGCATCCCTTGGACATAATTTTCATCCATAATTTCTACTATGAAATATATAAAAATCAGTAAAGATGATAAGCGCTTTTGCTCTTTTTCTCCACAAGGACTCTTCCAGCCCTCCACCTTATCTCTCTTTTAGTTACTTGTCTTCCAGATACTAAAATTATAATATTTGTGCTTGAATAAATGCTGATATTATGAGTTAAAAGGAATTAATTTCCTAAAAGCACAGCTTGAAACAGATTGGTTTGGTTTTCAACATTTAACTCTGGATGTCTGTGTTTCCCTTCCAAGGGCTGTATGAGTGAACATCTCGTTAAAGTCTTTCTTCCTCTCTCTTGCTCAGCTCCTGCCAGGATTTTGACATTTAGCGGCACGGTGACAACTCCCTGGATGAAGGACATTGTCCTCCCTTGCAAAGCCGTTGGAGACCCAGCTCCGACAGTCAAATGGATGAAGGATAGGTAACCAGCAACTAAATGTATAGCTCAAATAAAGCCCGTTTGCTTAAAATCCTGAGGGTTGCGATGTGGATGATCCTAAATGGCTGTGCCAGGAAGAAGGACCATTTGCAGGGACTGCACACAGTCACAGTAGATGAGGAGTTCAGAAATTCCTTGAACTAAAACTAAGTGGCTGTGGTGATTAGAAGGTATCAAAAAGGAGGAAAAGTTATGAAGAAGGGGTAAAGGTAAACGTTCAAAATGTAAAACCTAGCAGTCTTTTCTGTTTCAACTTCAGGCACACAGAATAGTTTAAGTCTGAGAGAGCAAAATGTCTGATGCATTGAATCATGCTGTGGAATGCAGTGTACATGTTTGGCACATATCTTGTTTTCCATTATTCTGTTCTGATCTTTAGTTTTACAGTTTGACAGAGTCACTTGGAAATACACATGGACAATAATTTTTATCCAAGCACTGCTTAAGCAGTGATACTGCAGTGCTATGAAACCATCTTATGCATTGATACAAATAGCTATAATTTTATAAGGATGGACTTTGTAGCCAGGAACTGCCTTTTACTCTTATTTTGGCACTTTTATGAAATAGCAGGTAATTAAAGAGGGAATGAGTTCCCATTTTCACTCAAATTGGGGCCAGGATATGTGCGTTCTTTATGTAAATGGCAGGTGCTTCCCAGCAGAAAATATTCCTTTGTTGTCTTTACTAGAGGAGGACACCACCCCCGCTCCCTTTTTCTTTCTTTCTATTGTTACTTCAAAAAAAATCCAATTCTGAGTAATTTTGATTGTAACTTCTTTAATGTATGCACTTTGTTTCCTGTGAGGTAGTAACGGGACACCCAGTCTAGTGATGATTGATGGGCGAAGAAGCATCTTTAGCAATGGCAGCTTTGTCATCCGTACTGTGAAAGCAGAGGACTCTGGATACTACAGCTGCGTGGCCAGTAACAACTGGGGATCAGATGAAATAATTTTGAATTTGCAGGTCCAAGGTAAGACTGTTGGATCTATTTCATAATTGTTATCACAGCTATTAACTGCTATGTGCTGGTAATGCATGGATAAATCTGTTTGCAGGTATATGTAAAATATTAATATTAATCTGTATTAATACAATTTCATTCTTCCAAATGAATAAATAAAACATTATGAAGGTCATTCTGACTCAGCCATCACATTTTATGATATAGTAAATGTTTTGCTTTTGGTGGATTGTTTCACACACTTGCAGATGAGTCTCTATGTAAGCTTTTGTAGGATTGACAACCGAGTGTTTGCATTCAGTTATTTTCTAGTTCTTCATACAGAAAATATCAACTTATGCCTTGTCCTCACAAATGTTACATGTTTCATTTAAATATTGCAAAATTCAGAAAGACCTGAAGGCCTTTTCTTCAGCTTCCAGAAAGCTATCAACAGAAATTTGCCCCTGTACTGAGACCTTGGACAAAAACTTAATTATGCAAGAGCAGAATTTTACTGATGGTGAATATGAGGAAGCATTTAAAATGAAACATCAGTACAAGTTCAACTAGCACGTATTACCAGCTTTTTTTTATATGCATGTTGAAATGTATATAATGTATCCATTATGGTGTTGATATGTATAAAAGCAATGAAAATACAGGAATACACATTAACTGTAATGTGAAACAAAGCGTGTGTATTCACATACCAAGAATTCACTACCCAGGAGATTTTCTTGCTCACTTACACTAAAGCAGATCCTAAGAGTGCTACAGTTGGCTGCAAATTGTTGTACCACAGGAAACCAAGTAACTGAGTTGGGAAAGTGAGCCATGCCAAGGCCAGTCACTCTCCTGTCCCTTGATAAGCAATCTAAATTCCTAGTGCAAACATAGGAGAACACAGATTATCTCAACTGCAATGCAACTCACTCTGCATAAACCAGTCCACTAAGCCTTGAAAGAAATGCCATAGTGTATATTACACTCCAACATAGCCTAAAGATGCTCTTCTGCAATGTTTGAAGCATGACCACAACAGGAAGTAGGGAGAGAAAACACTACCAAATGGAAACCTCATATTTATATTTCACTACTTTCAAAATTGCATATCCTTGCTGTTATTGTACTGCAGTAACTAAAAGCAAATCAATATTACTTCCCTGAGGGACAGAGAAAGAGTGACATTTAACATGTGGGACCATCTTCTTTTGTAGGTAAGGTGAAGCTGTGAAGAAAGGTTTTATACTAAATCTTTCACAGCGTAGTGTGTGCAGTCTCTCTCCATGGATACAGCTGAGTCAGTAAGAATAATGGAACAAATCCATCTCATGTAGGGAATTTTCCTTTAGAACATAAATGAACTTTTTTGTTTTCTTCAGCACTATTTAGTGAGGGCAGTAAAATCAACTTCCCTTTGAACTCATTAATAGCCGTAAACCAGCAGCCTCCACATCAGCACTCATTGTTTTGCAATCTGATGACTTGAACGTGAACTGCAGCAGGGAGATTTTCCTGGAGTTTCACTCTGCAGGTAGAGCTACCCCTTAAACATCGGCAAAGCAGGCAATGTCCTCTGGCAGCCGGCTGCTGGACACGACAGAGAATTTCTGTCTTCTGTCCTGTCTTGCTTACGAGCTGGTGTCTGGAAGGGGCTGCTCTTCCCACCACCAGCCACTGACTACCCTCCCTCCCCACGCTTGCAGTGGCAGTGACCGGAGGAGGTGTGACTACCCTGGTGTCTCTCCTCCCTGGCTTTCCATCCCAGCTGTGCCACTGCTTCTCATATCCCTTCCCATGATGGACACTGCCCATGACTCACTCCTTGTTCTTGAGGCAGCAAAGCTCAATTTAGTCTATGTTTCTGAGGAGCTTGGAGTAACCTCTAGTAACACTTGTTCAGAAAATAATCTGACGATCCAGAAACAGTGCTGCTATGCGTGACCAGAGCAGTGCAAAGGATTTGAAACAGGAACTTCCCTTTCTTCCTCTTTCAATTTCTGAACCTAGAATTGCAGATAAAGCATTTGAGTATTAATGAAGTATTAGTAAATATTTACCCTTCAGGGCTCCAATACTAATTTGATTAGCTCTTTGGAGTTTCGCCTGCCATTCATCTCTGTTTTAGCAAACACTGTCCTCCATGGCCTTACTGTTTTTATGCAATGGTTCTGGTTACCTCACTTGTACAACAGCACTAGCTAAATGATTCAGGCAGAATTCAAAGATGAGCTCTCCAGACTTTAACTAGGATATGATCGTATTGGCTCAGTAGACACCTTTTATACGGTAGATTCATGGTAAATTTGTCAAAGTGAAGAGAAAGTTGGCTACTTTGCCACTTTCTGCCCCTGAGCATTGAGCTCTGGAAACCCAGCCGCTATACACTGGTGCAATTTGGGGTCACTTAGGCTGAGATGTCCCAGTTCCTTGTCCCACTTCCAGTTCCAATTCCCTGTCCCAATTTCCAGTCCCAGTTCTCCCTACCCTGGGCGACTTGTTGGGATATAGCATGGCTCCTTCTCTGCCCTTTCATACTGGATTTTTCTCCAAAGGAAACTGGACACTGGGCAGAGGATGGGAGATGATTCCTGCACTCTGTCAGGAGCTGGTCCTGGGAACCAAGAGGTTCTTTTGTCCCACAGCTTAGACCAGCCATATCATTTATAGGGAGCAGCAGAACTGAAGTGTTTCCAAGTTTGTTCAGCCTTTGCTGATAGAGTTGTGTTGTCTTTATACCAATAGCCTCAGTGAAGACGTGGTGTGATCTGGAAGAATTATGGATCTGCCTCCGATCACTAGCACTAACTAGTGCTACCTAGTTAGCACTCATACTTGCAGAAACTCTTGTTATGCACTTTTTTTTTTTTACTTTTGCCATAATAGCCTGCAAACACATGCATGAGTGGGGCATCATTTGCAAGTGGACATCTGTTTCACACCAATAAAAATTCTAAAACAGATATGAAAAATAATGAAAAATAATGGCTGGGTAGTTCATATGCCATTTAGACATATACAGATGACAGATACAAAAAAATCACAGAAAAGCAAGGGTTAAGAACTGAAAGACAAAATTGTGTAGAAAATTAAATATAAAAAATGAGAGCTTGTCTGCTCTTGTCTTAACCAAGGATGTCAGCTAAACAGACACTTTGACAGATGTTATTTGCATTTTTTGCAACTCAAAACAGTTATTTGATAAATGACTGTTAGAAGACATTAAGATCATGTCTAATCATTTGAATCTATTTTCTATTTTTAACTATTTCCCATCTAGTTCCACCAGACCAGCCAAGACTCACTGTATCCAAAACTACATCTTCCTCTATCACTCTTTCCTGGATACCTGGAGACAATGGTGGCAGTTCTATCCGAGGTAATATAATTCAGGTTAATTGCAACTTCTTACTAAATTATCATATGTTGATAGGATTAGTATATAATTATGAATGGCTAAAAAAAAAAAAAAAAACCAAAACCAACCCAAAAAAATCCAGAGCAATCTGTATTCCTGTCAGTGCTTAATGTGCACTATCATGGTGATAACAGCTTTCAGTAAATTGCAGTTTCTCTTTGTGGTGGTTTAATCACAGATTTAATCACTTTCTTACAGCGTACCCTCTCAGCTGTTATGACAGTCACTTTCTCTGATTTTCCAGACATGTAATATCTACCCATTCATTTTTGAAGGTCCAGGTTCATCGTCTGGTCTTTGTTGCTGATTGAAGGGAATTTAGAAATGTCTATCCCTTTCTTTTCCCTTTGAAACGATCATAAAAATGGTATTTAAGCTGTTGTAAGGGCAGAAAAATGTATTGTCTGGTATCTTTTAGTCAGAGGAGAGCTGTATGCCTTCCTGTGCACGAGATTTTTCTAGTTTTATTAGGTCTTTAAAATGACTTGTCATATTACCTGCAGAATTTGTGGTTGGTGTCTGGCTTATCATTGCCATCTGTGCTTTTTCTCCAGGTTATATTTTGCAGTACTCGGAAGATAACAGTGAGCAGTGGGGTAGTTTTCCCATCAGCCCTAGTGAGAGGTCCTACCGTTTAGAAACACTGAAATGTGGCACTTGGTACAAGTTTACTCTAACTGCTCAGAATGGAGTGGGACCAGGACGCATCAGCGAGATCATTGAGGCCAAAACACTTGGAAAAGGTACGTTGATTTCCATCCCCTTCGCTCACCTAAAACTGTTGCATTCTGCTGTAGATCTTGGTTTGATGAGAAGACAGACTTGGGTATTTCAATATTATTGGGTTTGGAAACATTTCCAATTGTGTCCATGCTGCGACAGAAGAGGCTGTTGCTGCAGGACTTGAAGCATGTACTGGCTGATATTCCTTCCTTGTTTCTCTAGTCTTTTTTTTTTAAGTTGGGTTGATGGATATTTGGGAAGGGGATGTCTCCACTATCATAGGCTATAACAATTCCAACTACTGCTGTTGCCATAAGGAAATAGCTTCCTCTCATGTTTTAAAAATCCAAGGGTTTATTTGTCTGGATGTTGAAGGAAGATGGGGAGTATATTTATGTGTAGAGGAAATGGAGCCAATGTCTCATTTCTGCTCCAAGCTGGTATTGCAGGAGCCGTGCAAGTAGCACCCTTTGAACAGGATAATTGTCAAAAATAAAGGAAAAGTTTGCATCAAGCTCTGCAAGACGATACAGCCAACATGTGTGGAATTCTTAGCTAACTTAGTAATGGGTCTCATAGTCCTGGTTGCTGAGGGTAGTTCCACATTGCAAATATGTGTCAGGATTATGAGCAAATTTTGCAACAGACCTTCTTAAAGAGGCACTTTAGAAAGTCTTACCCCTAAGTCAACAGAGTGGAGTAGCTTTGCATAATGCTCTAAAGATCACCTCACCTTGCATCTCTTCACTAGTTGTAAGAAATACTCTGATTTGGGAGTAGTTTCATAATAAAAATAGTTTATTGTGATAGGTACATTTGCCTTTCTTTATGCTAATCATCACACCTGTGCTGTTGCAAATCTCCCAAGCATCACAGCAAGCTTATATTTCATTTGACACTCAGTGGCATGGGGAAGACCTGGTATGCAGTAGATTGGTATGACTTGCTGAAGCTCAGGAGAGACTGCAGATCAGCTGTGTACGTGCTGAGGTTATCAGTAGTCAGGGAGAGTGATCTGCTGACATTAGAGAAAGGGACATTTAGAGAAGTAGAAGTTGAGTGTTCTGCTTTTCTTTGCATGAAATGTAAGGTTTACACATGCTTCAGATAACATCCAAATGGTTCATGAGAAAGCAGATCTCCCAATCTTTTGAGTTTCTCTAGGACTTGATATACATGCCTGGAAAGTACCTGTAACATTTACAGACTGAACAAGATACTGTGTGATTTAGAATGATGAGATCATTCTCATTCATGTGAGAGCTCCAGAAGCATCTCTATCTAAAGCTATTGTCAGACCCAGTTGAAAAAGTTAATAATACACAGTAGGAATCACCAGTTTCTTTTAAATTCCTGTAGAATTTAGAAAAGAGAGTACATTTTGGTACATCTCATCAAGGCACAAGAATGGCAAACAGACTCTCACTGAATAAGTTATCCTTTATCATATAGAATAAAAAAGCACATTATAGATAATTTTTATCACATTAGGTGTAACTTCCAATAGTAAAAATATTGTGTTTCTGCTAAGAAACTAGCAATAATACTTTTAAGTGGTCTACAGTAATATTTAACGTAAATAACATTTGTTGGTGACCTGTCTTGTCTGCCTATTGTCATTATTTCAGTTCTGCTGTGCCTTTTTTACTGTCATTACTCCTGTATTATGTGGAACTGCCAAAAAAACTTTAATGTATATATCAACAGAAACTAACATTTGATCCCAAAGCAGGACAAGTAAATAGAAATGTCATGCCCTTTCTGAATGGAAACATCTTAACTCAGAAACACAAATTTCAAAGTATATATTATTTTCAAATATATCATGTGCAATGTCAACATATTAATATTTTTAAAAATTTGATTTTTACTTGTAAGTTCTTCAAAACTGTCATTTTCCACAAATGAAAGCCTCTGTACTCTCAAACAAAATTGTGTTCAATTCCACTTCAAAAGAAGACGAGAAAGAAGACTAGAGCACCAGTGGACAATCTTCAAGTGTATTTATCTTCTATGGTATTTCTACATGATTCTCTGAACTCTTCTTTTTTTGCATAGCAGTGAGTAGGCGTGTTTACTGTTACGAAGTGTCTGCACTAGATTTACAAGTTGACTTATGCCTATCCGTGCAAACCAGCAAGTCAGGTCCATGCAGAGATGTATGGATATTTTTTTCACATATGGATTTGAAAATCTAGGTTTTAAGTTTGGTACAAAGTGTGAAAAATACATTTGGGCCAGGGGGGGAAGGAAGATGAATATATAGACATTGAGTTTAAGATGAGGTTAGGATTGTCCTAGAAATTATTCTCTTAATTTTATATTTTTGAGAGTGCTATATCTGAAATACTTAAACATTTCACTTAAAATATATCATTGCTTCTAGAGCCACAGTTTTCAAAGGAACAAGAGCTCTTTGCTAGTATTAACACCACAAGAGTGAGGCTGAACCTGATAGGCTGGAATGACGGTGGGTGCCCCATCACCTCTTTCACCCTGGAGTATCGGCCGTTTGGGACAACAGTCTGGACAACCGCTCAGCGGACATCCCTGTCAAAGTCCTACATACTATATGACCTCCAGGAGGCAACCTGGTATGAACTGCAAATGAGAGTGTGCAACAGCGCTGGCTGTGCAGAGAAACAAGCCAAATTTGCAACACTCAATTACGATGGCAGTAAGTATATCTTTTTATTTACATGTCTGAGATACTGCTTTTACTCTAGTTTCTTATGTTGGTTTTTTTTTTGCTTGTCTTTCTTTTTTTCCCTCATAACCCCCTTTTTGAATCTGCTAGCCATGCTGACAGAGGGGTAACAGTCTCAAAGATGTAAAATGCCTGCTGATTTCATGACAATAGCCTGCCAGGCAGAAAAGAAGAATTTTTATTTGTCCTCATGAGGAAAAGCTCCAGCACCAGTCAATCAACCATGAAACATGTAACCATAGGACACTAGGTGTCATTAGTTCCAGTGATCACAGAAGCACTTGCTAGTATTTCATGCATCTCTTCCATGAAATTTTTGTCTTCCAAACAATTGGTTCCTGCAGCCATTCATGGCGGTGACTGGCCTCGTTGCTATTCCATGCAATGTCCTTGCGACACAGCTCAAAACCCATTATGTGACACAACGGAGCTGCTAACTAGCTTGTCTTCCAGGAAAGCCTCCGGACAACATCCTCCAAGGGCAAAGCAATGACAATGCTATTATGACTATTTACAGACGGGGAAAGTGAAACTAATGGCCGTGACCGATGGCTCTGTCGTGCCCGCCAGCAGAGCACAGGGGATGAAGGAATTGTTGCATCCTGCCCTTCTCTCAAGGGTTACTGTCCATCCTTCAAAAGCCAGAACATGAGGGCAAGAGCAAACATGCCAATTTGTCAGTTACTCCAGCTCATATCCTGGCATATTTATTGAAAGTGATGGTGGCACATGTGTGCTTCTGCTGAGTCTATAGTGGGAAATGGCTGTATTTCTGGCAAAAAGGCAATACAGATGGCTCCAGATGGAAATATCTCGAATTGCTCTAGTGTGAATTGCCAGAGCTTTTCTGGAGACATCCAGTGTAAAATGTTGTTGTGTTGCCAGGAATATCGTGCTGTATTGTGCAACCACTTGGTGACATCTGTACTGGTAGATTAAACAGCAGGACTAGTGAGCAAGTTCGAACAAGAACTGATAATTTCCCAGTGACAGCACTGAATTGTTAATTGTTCATAACTCTGCGTTGGTATCATATCTCCCTGCCACAGTTTTGTCCCACTCAAACCAGAACTCTCCAGGACAGTACACATGTAAGGTGCAGGGAAGAGCAAGCAACAGGGGCCATTCCCAGTCAGAAGTATGGAATATGAATCAGGCATCTTACACATCCTCTAATACTAGTCCAGTCTTTGCACTAGGTACTTACAAGTTGCAGATAATTAACAACACATGCTGTCATGGCTCATCCTTTTGCAAATAGCACATCCTCTGATGTTTTTCTCTGAAAATGTCATTTTTGTAAGCTGCCTCATAGTCCTCACATTATTTCAGACACTCTAGAAAATTAAGAGAAAGATTTCATCTCAGCACTTTGGAAACCAAGATCCAAGTAGTTATACAAATACTGCCAGATCTTGCCAGGTAGGCTTAGGACCTGTTTTACTGAGTGGTATAGATGTTGTCAATAATGACTGTATCAAGTATTATGAGTTAATTTCTTGCCACTTTACTTAGCTTATCCTCTTTTCTTTCCAGTATCTTTTTACAGGCAGTATCCAACTTTCAGTGATCTTTTTTTACATCCACAATTATTGTCACATATATATGACTGGGGCAAACCGTCTTAAGCCATACCTTAAAATGAGATTATATGAAGATGCAAGTCCAGAGCCTTAAACTCCCACTGATAGCAGTGAAATCAAATGTATGCTTACAATGTACTGATCTGAAATCTTGTCAGACTCTGCTTTTTGGTTAGGTGGTGATATTTACCTTGGTTTCACATGCTGTGACCTGCACGCCATTTGATTTTATGTGTTGCTCTGACAACTTTAAAAGTGAGAAAATAAAACAATAAAAATATCTGTAGCATTAAATTTCCTGGGACACTCCTTCTGGTCAGCTAGAAAATTTCTCTTTTACAGCATTGATGGTTTTGTTTGTCAAGCATGCTTTGCCAGACCTATATTGTGCCTTAGAGAGGCAGCATGATGTCAAATACTGACCACAAGGTTGAGAGAGGAAAACATGGCTGGAAAAGGAAATTTCAATTTTCAAATTTTCTTAATTTGTTATATTTGATGCAGAATTAAAATGATGATAAGATGATGATGATGATGATTATCATTAATGAAAATTAAGATAGTCTGTTCTTACATAAGGGATTTCATCAAGGAACTGTTTCAGTGTTTCTACAGCAAAATTTGTCCCTACAGAGTCCCAGGTCCCCATTCATTTGTTCCTTGGTAAGCTGCGTAGGCTTAAGGCACTTCAGAGTTGGAAAATAGTGTCTGATTAGAAATCAGCATTTTCTTTCAATACTTCATGCAGAAATGTTTGCTTTCATAGATAGTGAATTTTTCATTTACAGAAAGCATGCCAGTGGAAATTTTTGGCCAGTTCTGCTTTTGAGTGTCAACCCTACCTCTACCATTGGTTTGTCTTGTGATGTGAGATTAATGCCTTCCAGCTTCTAGGGGTCACAGTCACCCTTAGGATAAAACAAATACAAGGATAGTACTTTGAAGATTAGATAATTCATATATGAAAGTTCTAGCATACCAAATGCTAAGAACAAGCTTAGGAGCTTTAGCAGTCTTACGATAAAGCCTTTGTAAACTTTGTAGAAATCCTTGAGTTACGTGGTCATTTTGTTTGGACTGCAGTAGCTGAGTTATCTGTGATAGAGATCCTGAGAAATATCATGGCTAAATATGCTTTACCTTAAATCTCTTCATGGTGAATTAGGTCAAAAGGTTAATGACAGATCTACGTGCAACCTTTTGCTTTCCATTCATAGATATTTCAGTTAACCATTTTCAGCTTACAGATTTTATGACCTTCCTGCCCCTTGTTTTTCAGAACATTTACGCTCAATACTTAGGAGATATTTTTAGCAATGTGCAGCTGTAGTGCTGCAAAGGAGCTCCCTGACTCAGAGATCAGCTACTCAGTAGCCCTGACATTAAATCAGATCAGCTTGGTAGCTGCTCTAAACTATGTTAATTGATTCTAACCCACCAGGGGACTTCCTACCATGAAGAACAGTTAGGACACAGGAAAACATTTGGTAGTCCTAAAGTCACAAGTTGGGCAATGGTGAATTAACCTGCGGAAAAAAGAAACAACTCCCAATTTGTCTGGGACTTTGTTCTGAGAAAAGCTTTGACTATTCCACTCCTAGCCAACACCTAGAATGACGATGAAAGTTGAAATGGTGTTTTCTCAATGGATAGCAGCTTTAGGTTTTGGTAATTTCTAATACAATTGCTGAATATCCACAAATGGATAATGTGAAGCACATATAAACTTGCAGTATGGTTTTTTTTTTTTTTTAAATAAGCTTGTACTGCCTGTATATAGTGTTGTGAGGTTGACACTTTACTTGCAAGAGCTATGGAAAATGATAATCACTTACCTAAACACTCAAGGTTTAACTGAAATTTAGGCCACTCTTAATTTGATTTACATCAAAGTATTAAGGAGAGCAAGACAAAATATTCAGTAAGACAAAATTTTTGGTAATGCTGAAATCAACAGTCCTTAGCCAATGGTCTGTGTGACTTTAGTTCATAGCAAAATTTGGCCCTTTAGTATTTAGGAGGGTTTAGGAGGATTTAGAGACAATTATTAGTATTATCTTCAGGAGCTTGAAGTTCTTTCCATTTCTTCATCTAATCATTATCTTTGCCTTTAGAGTAGTGCAAAAACTGTATCTCAGTTAAGAGGAAAAAAATCCTGCTGTGTATTTATTCCAAGCAATGGAAAATTAGAAAAAGAAGGAAAATTATGGGGAAGAACTGAAATGGAACAGTAGAAAAATACACAAAATGCAATTGTAAGAAAATAAATTTTCTGAAGTACCTGATATAGGTTTGGATGGTTGTAGCTTTTCTGTTTATCTCCATCCCTTTAGGGAACTACTCTTCTCATTATATGCAACTCAAATAGCTCTTTTGAAAAAACATGGCTTATAATTCTACATTTTCACTGTGGTTATGGCACTCACATTGTACTCCATCATATCACTTTTTTTTTTTTCTTTATACTGTATGGTACATAATGACATATAACTATATCACACAATGCAGCAATTAAAATGTAAAAAAAGATGTACCTGTTTTGCTCTCTCACCCTCCTAACCTTTTAGCAAGTAGGTAACCACTTTTATATTTCAGTATCTGGTTAAAATTGAATAGCTTTCATCGAAAGTCATCACAGTTCACAATACTTGCGTGTTTCTACCCATTTCTAAAAAATCTGCATTTTATAGCCTCATTTATGGTTGCATTCAGCAGTTTAATAGCAATCAGGAAATGAGTGAGAAGCCTTCCATGACTAAACAGTCTTCCAAAGAAAGTGCTGCATTCTTCTCACGTCCTTCAGAAGTAAAGAAAGAAAGAATTGAAAAGTTCAAGTATTATATATCCCCAGGAAGCCAGGTATATTCAAAATGCAAATATGTCCCAAAATGAAAAAGTGAGCTGCCTGCTGATGCCAGTAGTTTGTAGATTCATTTCCCTCTCAAAATTTGATTGTTTCTATCCAGTGTTACTCTCCTGTTTTACTGATGAGTATAATGTCAGACACCCTTTAGCAAATTAGCATCAGGTTGGCTATCTGAATTTCACATCAATATCACTGCTGTACCCCTAAGACATGATATAAGAATGTTTCTGTGAAAAGGATTCATCTGATGTATGTAGCAAAAAATGAACTTTGTCAAATATGTTCCTTACAAAGAAAAGCCCAGCAGAAAGTATGAATATGTCACAGCAGTGCTACTTTTCCCATAGTAAGGAGTAATATGCATAGGTAATAGTTTTGAGATCTCTTACAGCTTTGTAATGATTTAATTTGACTTAAAATTAATCATAGTATTTGACTGTATAATGGGCATTGATGAATGCACATCTTCTCAATTTCTGGTAATCTATGAGTTTCTGCAGCCAGTACCTTGTTACCAGTGTGACTGATTACATGCGCATGGCCACTACACATCCACCCTGAAGATGACAAATCCTTCTTAATGATGTTCTGCATGCAGCTGAAGCACAAAACATGCCATATTCCCTGAGAACTCAATCTTTTGTCTTCATTAATAGGCATCTAATATCATGACACTGTTTCCAGGTACAATCCCTCCACTCATTAAGTCAGTTGTGCAAAGTGAGGAAGGGCTGGCAACCAACGAAGGGCTAAAGATGCTGGTGACCATTTCCTGTATCTTGGTTGGGGTCTTGCTGCTTTTTGTGATGCTGCTGATCGTGCGGAGGAGGAGGAGGGAGCAGAGACTGAAGAGGCTGCGAGGTAAGATGAGAAATATGGCACTTATTTCTGCATATGCATACTCCCTGAATGTGAAAGTACAAGCGGGGCTGGTGTCATTTTACTGCAATACATAATAGACACAAGGCAACATAGCATATGTGTTTTGTACAGAGATTCCTTCTTTTACATTTGGTAGTAAGTTTCTAAAACAATTACTGTTGTATCCATTGCTATTATTTTGTATGGGGGAAAGGAAAATAATTCTTGTGTATTGGTGTTTGTTTTCTTCCTTTTGTTTTTGTTGTTTGTTTCCCTTGTGAATGGTTTCAATAACCTAATTTTTTTTTTTTTTTTTTTTTTTTGAAGGCTAAAATCAGATATTCTGAAGATGGGGGGATTTCAGTTTTCCAGCAGACACAAACCATGATTCCTGAATTATAAAATGAAAGTAGCTACATGTTAGTAGGCTAGCAAACACAAACAGATATTTTCAGATTTGTTACCACATCTATTTCCCTATGATGTTTTATAACAGAACTATTACAACAACACTTCACTGTTCACTAAGCTTTCATTGTCATTGATCTCTACTTTTCTCTAATCCTTATTCAAATTCAGAAGTTTGCTATGTGAATAAGTTTTGGATCTGTGAATTCATTCAATTCTATCAATCTTCTAGTAAAAACCCCTGGCTGAGATACAGCCAGGTTTTTGACCCTTGCAGCCTGCCACTTCTGCATTTAGCCCTGTAGGTTTTGCACTAGCACACAACCACAGGCCTTATGCTGAAGGTATTTGGGAAAAACTGTTTCATATCATACACTGAATAAATAGTAAAGTGATTTATCATCTGCAAAGATAAGTCTAATCATTTCCAAGAGCTACCAAATTGTTTGGTTATTTGTATTTTAACCAAAATATGATCATGATATATATTAAAACCAGGGCCAACCCTGTGTATTCTATCTGAACTTACTATCTACTCATCTCTCTTTCAGGTCTCATTTTGCCTTTTGTAACAATATTTTGGATGTTTTTGGGAAAAAAAAAAAAAGACAAAGATAAAGGGCTCTTAGGCATGGGCAAATTTGTAGATCAAAGAGGACAACTAGCCTTATGGTTCATACACAGCTCTGGAAATCAGGGTATATGGATGTTTTAGCTTGTATAATAACTTTTTAATTTGAAATCTTCATTTACCTCTGTGCAGTTTTTTTCATTAAAAAAAGTGGTGGGGTAAGAGTGAAGAAAGTGTTATCTTCTCAGAAATACTGTGGAATTCCATCTAGTAATGAGCAGGATATTTTGAGCTCCTTGGCTCCAGGAAATGATGGCTGTGCACATCCAGTTTTTCATGGTTAATTTACAAGTATTCATAGATTCTTGAGTTACAGTCCCTTAAGGAAGGCTGATGATGACTGGCTAGTATGTCTTTTGCATAACATAAGACTTCTCTGAATTATTTCCTCTCAGAATACAGGAATTCAGAAAAATACCTGATCTTCACTTACACATAGGCAGTGACAAAGAATTCATCAATACTTTTGGTAAAAGTCATCAGTATTTAACTACCATTTTTGTAAAAGTTGCATTTCCCTTCTTACCTGAATTTGTTAAGCTACAGCTTGACATCCCAGTCGTCTGGTCCTGTTATACTTCTGTCTGCTATACAGGGACTGAAGTTCTTTTTCGATTCATATTTTCAATCTCTGAGGATATTCCTTTTACATGGTGGTAACCAAGTAATTTCTTATTGTTTTCATTGGTAAATCAAGTAGACGAATCTTCTTTGATTTTTCTCTGTAGTTTTCCCATCATTTATTAATTTCAAGGCTTTTATCTGATCCCTTTGCAATCTCTAGGTAGCTTTCCTCATCTGTGTACGCTAGAAATCCACACAGTATTCCAGCAACAGACATATCAGCATCAGATAGAGAGGTAACAGCCTTTCTTCTTTCCCTTTATAGTCTCCTCTCTATATCTGCAAGGATCACCTTTTTGGGTACAACATTATTTTAAAAGTTTGCATTTATCATCTTATCCGTTGACATCATCTGACAATTCTCTGATCACAGTGCAACAGGATAACATTCTCCATTGTATAGCTATGGCTTGTATTCTTGATATATGACCTTATGCTAATACAGGTACATTGCTAACTTGTGGCCAGCCTACCTGACGATCCAGATTGTTATGCCTTAGTGACCTGGCATTTTCATTACATTTTAGCTACCTAATTCTTGTGTCATTTTAAAACTTTTACCAGATATTATTTCATTTACTCCAGACCACCAATAAAAGTACAACTGGTGTGATGTCCCATGGTACATGATGAAAAGAAATACTAAACAATGATTCTCTTCTTGAAATTGTATTTTGTAAAATGGCTGCTGTGATAATTTTTTGCATCATGCTACTTTGTTATTAAAATATTTTGAAGTACCAAAACTTTGCTCTAGAGAAATATGAATACAATACTTTAATGTTATTTAATCGTGTCTCAGTGAGAGTTTTTTCAATGATGTCATCAATTCTCAGTTAAATTTTAATCTCATTTTAAAAAAAATCAACTTTCTTTGACATGGCTGATTGATCACAAGCCTATGCCGATTGGCCTCAATTATTCTTTCTCCTTTAATTCATTTCATCAAGCTTCATTCCATTTTTTTCATCATATTGCTCATTGCCAAGGTCCGATTGATGGGAGTTCAGTAAGTTAGACTTTTTTTGTTCATTCTTTTTGAGGACTGATCCCGTGTTAGCCATTTTCTACTCTTCTGGAGGTTACTCCATGTTCTAAAAGGCTTACTGACAATCAGCATTCCTGTTCCAGAGAACTCCTTACTAAGTTCTCTAAAAAAATCCTGTGTGCAAGTTTTTCTGATCTCCTAATCAAAACAAATGTTTTGCTGTAGTAGTTCTTGTGATCAGCTTTGATCTGAATTAGTTTTGAAGTTGATATCCTGTCTTTATCCCTCGATATGTATTACCTGGTGTGGTTTCTTTGAGGCACAGGACTCATTTTTCCTATATCACGACTCCACCATTGACTTTCCTCTAGTCTACATCAGAAATAATAGTTTCCACAGTGGGACCTTCTAAAAGGATTTACACAAGTTACAAATCTAATTCTTGCTTTTGTGGCTCCAGGGGATGTGTTTTCTTTGAACCTGCTTGACAAAGAGGAGTGGGAATGGCAGATTTATTTGCAGTACATTCTGCACGCAAACATTTGTATCTGTGCTTATAGACAATGGGTTTGTGGTTCCAGTTTCCGTGGGGTAAAATGTAGCATACCAACAGCAGTCTCTCCATTCTTAATCCTTTTATTCCTGGTTTTAGCATGTAGTGATAGGTGAATCTTTGTCTTCCTCCTGTGTCACACCCAGTGTGATTTATTTCTCCAGGAGTACTCTGTATATAAAGAAAGCATAGCTCTCAGCAAAGCCCTGATTTTTCCCCAGTTTAGTAGTTCCACAGGTCGGATCAGGTCTGCCCTAGCAAATGGAAGTGGGTGCTGTCGCTGGGTCGGTGCCTGTCCGCACAGTCACGCGTCAAACCCACGGTGAGGAGCAGTTTGTCTTTTTCACCAAGGCATGGGGTGATGCTTGGCTGAAGCGGGAGATCTTCCCCTTCACTCTGTCGTTTGTGGCCTACCCGAGTCCTGCTTCCTCCACCTGAAAACTGAGAGATAGGACACTGGCAGGGTTACTGACTCATTTGATGCAGTATTCTGAATTTACTGATCAAAAGTGTAATGTGGGAAATACACATTACAGTCTGTAGTCTATACTCATTCGTTTGTGTAACTAGCATTTCTCCTGTATCTGGTGTTTTGGACACACTGTTATCCTATTCAGTTACTTCTAGGCTTCTGGGTTTTGCTTTGACAGATACATAAGATCCCTTATCTTCTTGGGACATTTGTTTGGTCGAGTCCTACACTAGCTTGTGTGCCCAATACAGCCATCATTAACTACAGTAATGCTGATGACCATTGTAACGGTCTGCTTGAATAATTAGTACATTTAAACCCTGCTGATGGAGTTACGTTTTTTTCTGCAGTACTTCCTTGTTCGGCTTTTGACATGTAGCATGATCTTGCATGATGCCTCACGTTATTTTTGATTGAAGATGCACAATCTCCTTTGCATTTCTTTGACCAAGAATGCATATATGTTAACGAGCATTTGAATATGTGCCGCATACATTTATTGTTCAGAACATCATGTTTTTTCCAGATGCAGCATGGAATACAGCTATATGCTATGCGGCACCTAAGAACATGCAAGGGAGGTTGTTTGTCAGTTAATCCTGGTAAACAAATTTAAAAAACAAAGTAAATGACATTGGGCCAAGCAACCTTCAACTTTTTCCCTTCAACTTTTCTTGAATCATGAATAACTTGCACAAGTATTGATAGTCTTGCTTAAAGAGGCAGCAATTGCTTCATAAAAGCTGCTAGTTGAATGAAAACAGTATTTGCATATTAAATCACCCTTACTGTGTGTGCCAGAGGAAGAATGTGTGCATAGTCTCTTCATGATTCTAGTACTGCTAGAATAAAAAGCATCATAAAGTTTGCTTAAAAAAACCAACATGGCTGCTGCTTCTTTTTTTTTTTTTTTTTTTTAATTTAATTTTTTTTTTTTATTATTCCTCAAAAGAACTGAGTCCCTTCCTGGGTCCTAAGAAGTCAGTAGCAAAACTATCTCTGACATGATTTGGGAGCAGCAGCAGCGGTAGTTTGGTTTATGACTGATGATAAAGACATTGTCATCTTCTATATAGTAGCACTTATAAGAGTGTTAACAGCAAAAGGCAATCCCCAAACAAAGTGAAAGTGCCTAAATGCAGCACTGTTTGGATTAGATGGGACATCTCAAGTGAAGAGTCCTTCCTTCTTCCAGGAATCTGCCATGTGAGGAATAAAGCTTAAGACAGGCAAGCTGCCACAGTGTCAGAGAAATAGAATGTAGAAAGTGGATGGAAGGGGTTTTGTTGAGGTTTTTTTATGAATAAAAAGAGCCCTTTGTCCATTCCTTTTAAAAAATGAATACAAATGTAGCCAGAGCAATGCATTAAGATAGTGATTTGTTTCTGCCTGAATCCTCTGAATTTTAAAGGCAGGATATTTAATAGGATCACAAACAAGGAAATTGTTGTAGGTGTAGGAGATTCAAGAGGTGATTAAGGAATGAAAAAGGTGAGATGGAGAAAACAAAAGCAAGTTCAGTAAATGTCTTGGCAGGTTCTGGTAAATTATAAGCAGCAGATAAAAGAAGAAATTTAAAGTTTCACATAATAGGAGAGTTGCTTGAAGACTTAGAACTTGGAATTGTTTTCTTCTCAGATTTGGCTTCACTTGGTTGAAGAAAAGTCTGCTTTGTTGTTGTGTGATACACCTAAGGACACTGGAGTCAGCATTTTTAAGTGAGTTTGTTTAGTGGAAGACTGCAAGAGTAAAAAGCACAGCTGTCTATTTTTGCTGAATAATACCACAGAAATTATTATATTATGTTGATAAAGTTTTACAGAAAGCTACCTGAAGAACACTGGGTAAATCAACGTTCAGCTCTGTCTTCTGATCTGATAGGTACCAGAATAATTATATCCCCAAAGGATTTTATGCTAATAACAACAGCAATGACAACAACAGGAGGAATATTTCTCCTTCAGCAGCACCTCATTTTGCAGGGCTGATCCATGTGGGAATAAGCCACCTCCTGTATTGTGTATAGACTGTCCTCTGAAGACCCAGTAGTAGTTCTGAATTATTGTTAGTGGAAAAGCATTTATATTTGAGAGCAACCAAACAAATTGACTCCTTGGAGACCTCCCTTGCTCAGACCTCCATGCAGTCAGGTTTGGTTTGGAAATGGCAACTGCTCATCCAGCTTGGGTTTGGCTCCTGCCCAGAGAGGGATGTCAACACTTCTGTCTTCTTGCATTTCTTCCTTCCTCACTTGTTCACTTGCTAACCGTGGCCCGAAGGAACACAGTACCCCATTATTTGTTAAACTGTTCCTAAGTCTAATAAGTTTCTGTAGTTTTATCTAGTTAAACCAATGGTAGCTTTTAGTTCTCCAAGCATCTGTGGCACTACTAAGGAACTAAACAGGACTGTCTGGGACAGAAATGCAGTTTCAGCAAAAGTAGGGACTTTTAGAGATTATTTTATTCTTGCCACTGATCTGAGAAACAACAGTGGTCTTACACATGGCTGATTCAAATCACTTCCTTATAATCCATCCATCAAATAGATTTTCATTTGTGATGACATTTCTTCTGTTTTCTTCTAGATGCAAAGAGTTTGGCTGAAATGCTTATGAGGTAAGAATAGGTTTAATGTTTTTAAATTGAAAAATGTCTGTCAACTATGACATCATGTTTAAAAATTATTATAGGGACAAATGGAGAAATAAACCTTCTATTCCTAAATCCTTTTTCAAATCACACCATTTGACTGTTAAGAACTAGGACACCTTGTTGGTTAGAAATGGAAGAAAAAAGACAATTTGTGGACAGCATCTGTGGGGGAACGCAATGGTAAAAAACTGAGAACTCTAGTGTTAGTAGATTAAATTATAGAAGCTATGTAGGTCCATTTGGACATTTTTCCTATTCAGAAAAATGTTTTTCCTATGCATTTTCATAATATGTACCAAAGTAATTGCTCTACAGAGATCATCTGATTGAAAGCAGTAAGTGCCTGGATGCGAGTATCTCTAGACTTTACAGTTATATTTATGTAATTCACTATTGCTAGCTGCTTATACCCGATGGTATAGAAGAACAGGTAAATCCATTTATTATTTTTCAGTTCTGTTCCATCAGCTCAGCATCAAGAAATCTAATTCAGTTGTTGAATTGCAACAGAATGACTATCCTGGCACCACAATTCTTTCAAAGATGGAAATTTCATATCTTCAATGTTTATTGTTTTGTCTGGGGAAAATATTGAACTTTAAAACTGCTGCATATATTTGAAAATGGGATAACCAAGGGATTATGTTTAAGTTCAAATGAGTTCTGGTTTGCTAGAAAATCTTTTTATTTTTAAGCAACAAATTTGAGAATGTCATATATATTTTACCAAATGAACTGTAGTCTAAACTTCCTCACCCGTGATAAACTTCACCAGCTATTGTGAGAATATACTTACCAAAGACATGGTGACAGATGGTTTTAGTGTAAGCTCAGGTCTATGCCATCAGTCTGCAAATACATCTGAATAGTCCCACTGACGTTAACAAGACTGGTCATGCAGGTCAGGTCATACCCTTCCTATCTGCCAGTTAGAAATCTGTGCTAGCAGCAGATTGCAGGTTTAAGCAACTTCAGGAAGATATGCTCTGATATTTTTTAGTGTCACAGAAAACAACACAGATTAGTATATGCAGCAAGTCTGTTCCCTAAAGAAACCCAGCTGAAACAGATTGGCTGAAACTCCTGGATGAAGATATTCAGTCCCAGTGACAACCACACATAACACCTCTGCAAAACTGGTAAACCTCGGCCTTAACCCTGGTTAGCTTCACTAGTCTTCTTGCTGCCTCTGCAAGGCCATTTCAGTCTCACTCCTCTGACGCTTAGAAAACTTTATCAAATGCCAACATAAGTGCCCAGTTTTCACCCATTTTTTCCTGTGCTCATGTCAACCTTCAAATTAAAGAGCTTATTTTGCCCTCCCCACCTGATGAACTCAGAGAGTAGTCAGGTCCCTCTCCAGCCTTTAGTTCAGAGCTGTTTTTCTAGGTAACTCATTTGTCAACTTTTATTTTTATTTTTCCTTTCACCAGCATTGAAAAACGATAATCAAGTCAGTTTCTCCCATCTCAATTATTAACAAATAATCTTTGTTTTATTAAATAGTCATGTTTTATATTTCTCTTCTGAAAGTGTGAACAAAGGCAAATGACTATTAAAACGGGACTTTAGAAGTAGTAGGGGAAATAGGCCTACATTTGCAGATGTGTCATAACTTGGAGATCTCAAAGTGATGCTGTTTTGGGGAGCCTGCTTTCTACAGGCTGAATGTTCTGTCATTTTGATAAATCTGTGAAATACCTCCAACCGAAACCTGAGCTGCCCACCATTGCTAGATGTTTCTGAAGATGTAGCTTGTTAATAATCAAAGGATAATAAGCCCTCTCTAAAGCCATTGTCACATTTTATAAAACTCCTGATATTTTACATCTTTTAGATGGGTTGTGCCTTGCTGTTTAAGTATTGGACAGAGAGCAGAAAAGATGATTCCCTGCTTGGTAGGAAGGTGTGAGGGATGGAGAAAGCTTTGTGTATCTTTCCCTTTGAAGAGATTTTTATGAGCATGTGTAAAGAGGATTAAGAATGGAGCTTTAGTCTTTGCTTTGAAAGTCACTGGCTTTGGCTGTGTAAGTCAAATGTCTGGGGAGTAGGATAAGCCCCAGAAGTTAGCAGTTTAACAGGAGCTGCCCAACTTCTTGCTGATACCTTAAACTCGCAAATAAAAATCCCTGCTGCTGTACAATTACAGCTTTTTAATATTTCTTTTGGGTGAAAGCATCGGTCTAGCCAACTTCTTTGTAACAGTTCACTGTGAATCAGTATAACAATTGACTGAGTTTTCTAATTTTAAACACAAGGTGAGGAATCTTTTCTCCCCAAATACTCCTCTGTCAGGCTGATTACTTACAAGATTTAGTTTTCCATATGTTTTCACAACAACTATCTTAGGCATCAGGAAACTGTGAGGTGGCCTGAGTCTCTGCCAAGGACCCGGAATGACTCTGGGTTTACAGAGCACCATATTTAATCCCTTTACATAACTAGCTTGATAGGTTTAACTCTCTCCTGTGCATACAGATATTTTCAGTCACTCAAGTAAGTATGTTTTTATTAAAGATCCAGAAAGATTATTTAAAAGGTAGTATTCTTTTA